GCTGGGGAAGGACTTTTTACTGGGGCATGGAGTGATAGGATGAGGGGGAATGGCTTTAAACTGGAAGAGGGGAGGAGTAGATTAAACATTAGGAAGAAGTTCTTCACTTTGAGGGTGGTGAGGCACTGGAACAGGTTGCCCAGAGAGGTTGTTGAGGCCCCCTCCCTGGAGGTGTTGAAGGCCAGGCTGGACGTGGCCTTGGACAACCTGGTCTAGTGGGAGGTGTCCCTGCCCATGGCAGGGGGGGTGGAACTCAATGATCTTCAAGGTCCCTTCCAACCTAAACCATTCTATGATTCTATGATTACCACGTCTCCTCCCCTCTCCAGCCGCCACGCTCCAGGCATACAACACGTTTCCCTTCCCACACAACAAGCTTTCCACTCCAAGACTAGATGCTCTGGTTCATTCCAGGGATTTTTATTTTTTTCCCCAACTGTAAATATTCTGGACGAGAGCCTGCAAGAGGACTCTAAAATAAAGTCCCAGAACAAGAAAAATTTAATTTAAATGTCGGCAAGATTCAATAGAAAGAACACAAAATGTGTGACAGTGTCTGAGACAGGGGAACATGTTTTTTTTCCTATACAATTCATAGAGAGATTAAAAAAACCAGAGATATTACGAAAACTGCATTCATAAAGAATGCTCCTAAACCCCTTTAATAGTCAGTAACATTTCAAGATCCCACACATCCGTCACTGTTACTATTCCATTATATCAGAATACTTTTTTTTTTAAATAGAAATATATATATTTTGGCCATGCTGAAATTGCACTGCTTTTAATTGCTTAGAATAATTCTCCCTGTAATAATCCTTACTACGTTTCAGGAAGGCTGTATATACTTTCCTCCTCTCAAAGTGAGAATTGGTAATTGCCACGTTACTCTTGACCACGTGACATCGAATTAATCAAAAAAGGAACTTTCCACCATCTTTTAGAGAAGACGTTTCTGCACACCGATTCCCAGCCACCGTCCGCACAATTCCTTCTGAAAGCCAACTCCACTTGCGTACCATCGCTGTACAGGTCAGAAGTTTAGCTAAACTTTAAAAATTTTAAACAAACGTATGTCATTGAAATTCTTAATTCAGGTAAACTTGTAGACAATATAGGTTTGACTAAGAATTGAAATATGAATTGTTTTAGCATAAGAAATTTTACCTGTTAAGTGCTTAGCAAACAAAACTCCAGGTAAGTCTTTTACGTAAACAGAAGCAGCACAAACGTAGATTAACAAATAGTACTAATAAAAGTATCCTGGTTATACCATTGGGAATGGAGTTTACATTTTTGCTTTAGACACAATCTTAGACAGAAGCGAAATTCCACATTTTAAAAGCTTCTTCAGTGGTTAGTTGAGAAAAATGGTAAAACTTGCCAAAAAAAATTTAAATATGATTCTAAAATATGTAAGTGTAGCAAGCAGGTTTCCTAGCAATTTTACATCTTTGGAGCATAGTAAGAAATGCCATAAAATTTCAGCAAATATGTTATGAAATGTATCCAAAAATAAAAATCTGTAATTCCTGCGGTAAGCAGGGCTTTCCTCTGACATGCACCATTAACTATGGAACAGTAGGACACATGCATAATTTATTCCCTTTGAAGAACGTACGTTTTAATATTTAGGGTTTTTTTTCAGACAATACAGGGGCTCCTAATGGATCATTCCAACAGAACATTTTCCAACCTAAAAAGATTTCACAGATTAACTCTGCGTAATTAAAAGTACTGAGGCTCACCTCAAATCTGTTACAATCAGTTTTCCCGTCTTAATTTATGCATCATCAGACGTCGTGTAATACAGCAAGTTAAAAATAAACTGAATGAAAGCAATGAGTACTTTTTTAACCGAAAAGCTTATTTTGGTGCGGTATGGAGACTAGAAATAAAAGCCCAAGCTATCCGGCAACGAAATATCCTAGTATATTTAATTCCACTGTTTTTGCGTGAATCTGACCTACGGGAAGAACATGGGTGTTCCTCAGGAGAAATAAAAAGGCGAGTACGGAAAGGCAAGCGTGTTAGTAACGAGGTGGAGGTGGCGGAGGTCTGTCCTTTCAAGTACAAAAGACAGGGACGCATGGCGTGCAACACACAACCGATACCCTCTTCGGCACCCTACATGCTCACGGCCATAGCAAAGCACACGAGGCACGTGGACAAAGCCAAGGAGAAAAGAAAAATGTGTATATATAGACGATATATAAACAGCTGGCACCACGGCGAGATCACGCCACGGAGACACGGACAGCAAAAACCAAAGCGCTGGAATCTCCCCCACCGTGAAGTACCGGCAGGCGACCGCCGCCGCGTGCCTTTGAGGGGGGAGAAGGTGGAAGATGAAAGCAAGAGGAAGGCACTGAACCTGTGCAAAATGGGATACGTGTGTTTTCGGATACCTTTACGGCTTTTCACTGATGTCTTTGTGCTGACAGTCTTTGAGCAGCTGACAAAGGGCAGGAAGCCCAGACAATGAGAAGGCTCTAAAATCACCACTTTCCACCTACGCCGGGCAAAGTCCCGTTCTTTCCGTTTCGTTCCCGACTGCACATCCGTCTTTGCGGGTGAGCGGGGAAGGGAATACACCTTGACCTCTTAAAATCCAAGACGTCCTTTACAATCACCTGTGCCAACTTGTCTAAAAGAAGCATCTAAAGAGCGAACAGGACATCAGTGAATTCAACGCTGTCATTCCACAGGCCACACGGACCGTTTCTGTGTGACTACCGGGCTTGTGAGTATGTGGAATAACCTGACTCCAGCGTATTATTACCATTTCATGCCTATTTACCGCGAGAATTTAGGAACTTATTGTGGAAAACTTGACCAGGGATGATTTACTGCACACCTTCACGAGAGGCAGCATTTTCCATCATCAGTAGTTTAAAAAAAAAAACAAACCAAAAAACAAGAGCAAGAGAGAGACCACTTCATAAATAATCAGAAATCAAAATCATAATCACACACAGAGTTACACAATAATCATGATTCTCTTCCTAGTTTATGAAGCAACAAATGGTTGATACCAAAGTACCTGCAGAGGTTGAACCAACCACAAGGGTAGCTGACTGCAACATCCTCTCCCTTTCCACCTCAAAAAACCTCTTATGTCCAAGCTCTAAACTCTGTGCTCTAAAAACCCCTCTGTTACTTGGAGACATGATTTTTCAGATCAGTGCTTGAAAACCAGCAGCTTTCCAGAACGACTCCTTTGCAGTTCAGTTCGCATAAATGACCACATGTTCCTAGGTGACTCCAAAATGCCTTCTGAAATCATCAACCCTGCCCACATAAATTGATGGGTTTTTCTTTTGTCCTGAATGATGGCGAAATCACCCGTGCACAAAGAGCAGAATATCGGTGTGGCATTTCAACAGGACAACTGGGAGGAGGAAGCCAGCGAGAGTCACCTAATTTTCTGTGGTTAGTCTGGGGAAGAGGTGAGTAGCTGCTGGCACAGAGCAAGTTACTTGTTCCAAGTATTGGCTCTTCAACAAAAGGGTCCTCCCAGCCCACTACCGCAGTTTTCATGATATTTAGGAGTCAGGGGACCTGAAGTCAGGGAACTGACTCCCTGCACCTAGGGAGGAATGACCCCATGCACCAGTACAAGTTAGGGGTTGACCTGCTGGAAAGCAGCTCTGTGGAGAGTGACCTGGGAGTCCTGGTGGACAACCAGTTGACCATGAGCCAGCAATGTGCTCTGGTGGCCAAGAAGGCCAATGGTATCTTGGGGTGCATTAAAAGAAGCATGGCCAGCAAGTCCAGGCAGGTCATCCTCTCCCTCTACTCTGCCCTGGTGAGGCCACATCTGGAGCACTGTGTCCAGTTCTGGGCTCCCCAGTTCAGGAAGGACAGGGAACTGCTGGAGAGAGTCCAGCGGAGGGCTACAAAGATGGTCAAGGGAATGGAGCACCTCTCTGATAAGGAAAGCCTGAGCGACCTGGGGCTGTTTAGCCTGGAGAAGAGAAGGCAGAGGGGATCTCCTCAATGCTAATCAATATCTAAAGGGCGGGTGTCAAGAGGACGGGGCTAGACTCTTTTCAGTGGCGCCCAGCGACAGGACAAGGGGCAACAGCCACACACGGGAACACAGGAAATTCCATCTCAACATGAAAAAAAACTTCTTTACTTTGAGGGTGGCAGCACTGGCACGGGCTGCTCAGAGGTTGTGGAGTCTCCTTCTCTGGAGATATTAAAAACCCGCCTGGACACGTTCCAGTCCAACCTGCTGTAGGTGAACCTGCTTTGTCAGCGGGGTTGGACCAGATGATCTCCAGAGGTCTCTTCCAACCCCTACCATTCTGTGATTCTGTGAAAGCCTTAGCCGAGTCCAGACCCTCCGCTTCCCATCGCTGTGCAGCGCACCCATGGTTCTCATGTCACGTGAAGCTGGACCTACTAACAGGCTTATTTCCTCAAAAGGTCGGTTTCATCAGCTTTTTCAGGTATGATGTATGTAGATTATACAGGAGACTAAAGGAAATAGTATTTCTGCCTCCTACTATCACTATTACCTGCCGTTCTTTAGTCTGATACCATAGAAAACAGTCTACATAAAACAAATAACAATCTGAAAACTAAAGGTAGGATTCTGATTTTTTTTTTTAAAAAAAAAAAGGTATAAAAATATTTCTTTGTAAATTATTGTTAGAGTCACAATTTAAATTTGAACCAAGTTTCAGAAAGACTACACTTGTGAGGAGGCAATGCTTAGCATTTCTGGAGCTGTGTTGAGCAGATTTTTTGCTTTTTCTTTTTTTTGAGTCATTTATAACAGCCGCATCTCATGTCTAATTTTAAGAACAGAGAAAAAGACACAATTACTGAAGCTGAATTCCAAACTGTGAATCTTGGTGTTCCCAGTCTCTGGCATAACCCTCCCCCCAAAAAACAACGAAAAAAAAAAAAAAACCAAAACAAGCAAGCAAAAAATCCCAATCCATTCCCAAGAAGGGACAACATCATATTCAGGGAATAGAAAGACTCACCCTGGTTTTGGCATCGATCTGCCCTCCGCGATCCAACAAGAGCTTCACCATGTTTGTGTTCCCCCTTTTGGATGCCACATGCAGTGGGGTGATTCCATTCTACACCATGAAAAGAACAAACCAATGAGCATGATGGATTTGAAGGTGTGTAACGGGGGTGAATTGGTGCGCGGATCACAAAAAGAAAAAAATGAGACCATCACGTTGTAGAGAATAAACAAAAATGTAGTTGAGCATCAGAGCCGGGCACACGCCATACAAGCTAGAGTTAGTAATTCCTTTCTAAGCGGGAATCTTTATTTATCGTTTGGGGTTTTTTAATAAACGAAGAAGCGCATCTGCCAAAGCAGCAAACATCACGGTCCCAGAGTCAGACAACTAAACAAACACATATCAGGGTCCCAATGAGTCAGTATTCACAAAACACCGATGCATTTAAATCACTGCAACATAGACAAGAGTACACAAACGCGTGACTCCTACACAAAGGAACCAATAATGCCAACAGCGTAAAGGAGTAGGTCCTGGTTTAGGCTGAAAGTCCTTGCAAAGGAAAAAAAAAGGTAAGGGGAGCCGCTATTCCACATTGGGAACAGGGGGAAGTCGGTGTGAGAGGCAGAACCCTAAAGTAATTCACAGCGTGGCTGGTAAAATTAAACCGAAAACTTGTGAGCCAGTGGCTACGCTGAGGTGCAGGTTACCAGAGGTTTGCACGGCCGCCTCAAACTACGTAAGGTACAACAGCAAAGAGGCTATATCATGTAGCTCTGCAGTCGTTTACCATAAAGGAGTAGTCGTGATTAATTAGCACTTTGATTGTTGCATTTCTAGAATGGCACTATACCTTCAAAATACGTTTATATGTGAAAATATCAAATTAAAGTATCACAGTGAATACTGACTACTGAAAAAGCCTACGCGGATTTCTGGAGCGTGTCTAACTGACAGCAAAGCTGAAGTGAGGTGACACGTTATGAGGATATCAGCTGTCTGGAGCTAGTCAAAGGAGCCTGCTTCCTTCCACTGGGGCTACTGGTCGCTACTCCACTCCCAAGGACTCTGGCATATTGCACAGAGGCAACCTTTAAGAATTACCGCCAAAAAAAAGACAGATTCTAACAACTTCAGCGCTACTTTGCTCCGACTTTTGAGTCCGTGACTCTTGACTCAGAATTACAGAAAGAAACACTCCCAGTTTCGTAGGCCATTACAAGTAAAGAAGAGAAAGAAATTCCTCCGTACCCTCGCCGTGAAATCGACTGCAGCTCCTCGGTTTAGCAGAAGCGTTGCCACATTGACGTTTCCATAGTGGGCGGCTATGTGCAAAGGTGTAAAGCCACTCTACAAAGGGAAACAGCCCTTATTATACAAATCATTTCACACAAGACAATCAGCTTAACTAGAACTCGGTTTTACAAGCTGCTGGCAAACAAAGGTATTGTGTCGACTTTATCCAGTTTCACCTATAACACAGCACAGCCTTTCAGGCAGAGAGAGCAGTTTTCATACGAGAGGTTATCAAAAGCCTTATTCTTTCATTCTCCAATTCAGTGTTCTGAATCAGTGGCCAAAAAGGAGGGTAGCTTTCATTGTCAAAAATATTAACACATTAGCCATTCTGAAGGAAAATAAAGGAAGTTTCCTCGTTACAATTCAGAAGCAACATGGGTCTTTTGGGCTGCATCTGTGTACTGGGTTTGGATAAGTGACCACAAAAGTTGTTGGATTTTTAGTTTACTGCTCTTAGAATTAGGCATATTGACAACATGCTTCCTTTTTTCTTTTCTTTTTTTTTTTTTTTTGAAAAAGCAGTGGTTATTCAATGTGTAACCCAAGAATTTGGAGTACATGAGAAACTACTTAGTAGCACAGTATAAGAATCATAATTGTATTTATATACAATTTGGATCTCAAAGGAGCTGAAGAAACTTTGCCATCTATACATCAGAAAAAACACAATTTATGCATTGCCTCTTAAACACTAGAAGGTAAAACCTGCTCCGGCTACGAGATACAGAATTGCTTGACAACAACATAAAAAAAGATTAATTTTTCAGAAACTAGGACACAGAGCAAGCTTTTAGTCTCATAAGTAATTCAAGTAGAAAGGACCTTGCTTTTGAGGTTTCCCTGAAGAGCTTTGCACTGATTTCATCAGACCCTAAAGTTAGTTATGGAAAGAGAGAAATACTTTTGGCTTCTAGACCGTACCGTATTTCCAGCTGGGTTTCATTTCTTGCAGTGTACAAACCATCATTTTAAACTACTGATGGAATAAAGAAATGTAGGCAGATGTCACGCTCTGAAATCAACTTTATTCCCACAAGATACAGCCATCAGCTCACTGTTTTACCCTAATTCCATTTACTTCCTTGTCAGCCTACGGGTGATCCTGGCCGAAGTACAGCCATTAAACTCATAGTCTTCCTGCTGGGATAAATTCCCCGGGAAATCTCTACCGAGGATATCAGGCGCAGAAATACGATTCTGTGTTGAGCTATAGATTGAACGCGTATTGCATTAACAACTGCCTTCTCGGGGACACGTTTGCCTGGTGACAAACGCGAGGTACTGAGGAGTAACGCAACGGCCGGTGAAGAAGCGGTAACCCCCCTTCACGGGTAGCGTAGCGAGGAACGCGCCCGCGGGCAGGCGGCGGGGAGAAGCCGTCACCATTTCAATCCCCATCGCCACCCGCCTCACGGCAACGTCCCGCTTTCAAAAATTCGTTGCCCTCATCTAACAGAGAAACTCCATTATTTAAGAGCGGGCATTCAAATAATGACCGCCGCCTCGGAAATAACTCTTTTTCCTAAACGTCTCGATAATCTTTAGGGGAGAAACCACAGCTCTAGCCAATCAGACCCATGATTCTTAGTGGAAGAGCTTGGAGAGGTGGTATTTCCACAATCCATATGAGAAATGTAACGTTATCTGCTGCAGATAAATTCTGATTATGCGCTATCCCTCAAGGACTTCTCAAAACTTTATTGAAAAGATTGTAATAAGAACATCGGTAAAAAAAAGCAGATGCTCTGAACAAATTTTTACCTCCGAGGATTTGATTATATTTGTTATTGTAAAAGAAGGAAAATGAGTTTTACCATTATTCTGTCTGAGCCAGACACCTTAATTTAATTATGCCAAGTGAGTGCATTTTCATAATTAATGAAATTGAGCTAGAAAAGTATCTTTATCCTCTTAGCTCCATTACTCGCTTCAGACTTCTTTGAACTGATGGGAACGCTCAAAAGTTTACTTCGATAGTGACACAAAGAAAAAGAAATTCTAAGACAAAGGATGAATAAAAATAGGTTTGCTGAGTCACAATTTTCTATGTATTAAAAAAAAAAAAAAGGTCATATCTTCACTTCTAGTGCTAAATAATAAAGAAATATTGCCACAGAGCAGAGGAAATAATTATAAGTAATAGAAAGAGTAATTAAAAATGTTTGATCTCGGTACCTCAGTCGTCCTATTCACCATCATCTGATGCAGCATGGTTTGGGAAAAAGAGGAAAAATATTAAAGACTAGCCGCAAAACGAAGAACTATGTTGCTTTTTGAAATGAGTTATGCTGTTAATTATGGGAAAATCCCTTCAAGCATGCATTAACTTTAAATACAACCTACGTTCCCACGGGCAATAAACCAGTATCCTGTTTAATAGGAAAGCAGTGACAGTCCAGTCCAGTCTCTTCGGGTTTACAAATAATGAGAGAAAGCTGGTTACCAAAGAAATGGGAGGTATAACTAAAAAGCAAAAAGATGCGTAGCTCGTAATTACTGTGTAGCTGAACACTGCAAAAGTAGATATATTAGCGGTGATACTGGTCGAGCAACTTGTCTTGCCCCACAGAAGAAATTACCCTTAACTGTTAAGATGAAGGAAGTAAAGTTTGTTGCCCATCGGCACTCAGCCGCGTGACTACCCTGTTACCTCTACGGCAGCATGGTGTTACCTTGGACTGCACATCGGCATTGTGGTCGTTCTGCAGTAAGAGCGCCGCTGATTTGGTGTCGTCTTTTCTAGCGGCGATATGCAGAGCTGGTAATCTCACTTTCCCCTTGGTGTCATTTTCCAGGAGGATGGCCACCGCCTGGTTGTGTCCTTGTTGCAGTGCAACAGCTAGAGGAGTGAAACCGTCCTGGTGGAGAAGAAAACAAGACCATAGAGTCAGAATGGTTTGGGTTAGAATGGACCTTAAAGATCATAGAACGGTTTAGGTTGGAAGGGACCTTGACGATCATCTATTTCCAACCCCCCTGCCCTGGGCAGGGCCACCTCCCACCAGCCCAGGTTGCTCCAAGCCCCGTCCAACCTGGCCTTGAACACCTCCAGGGATGGGGCAGCCACAGCTTCTCGGGGCAACCAGGGCAAGTGCCTCACCACCCTCAGAATATATAATTTCTTCCCAATATCTAATCTAAATCTCCCCTCTTTCAGTTTAAAACTACTCCCCCTCGTCCTATCACTCCATCCCCTGATCAAGAGTCCCTCCCCAGCTCTCCTGTAGCCCTGTTAGGCACTGGAAGGGGCTCTAAGGTCTCCCTGGAGCCTTCTCTTCTCCAGGCTGAGTAAGCTGAAGGACGTACAGCTTTGGTGATTTGCACAGTCCTAATCACGCACAGAGAAATTTGATAAGCACACTACCAGCTATATTCTACCTCTGCACCACCGTCTCCAATGAAATGACATCGGAGGCACAGCATTTTAACCCAGATACGACTTCAAACATGTGAGAAGCATGCTCTTCCCACTTCAAAGTAGTCTTTTTTTAAGTCAAGCGCAACCAAAGGACCATTCTACAGTATCTCTTTTAATTACTTATCTTACCAATATGCCGCAAAGCATATTTGCAGCAATATTTTGGTAAAGGATTAGTGAGCACTGAACAAAGTAGATGTGAAAAATATACAGGGAACCTGTTTCTGCATATCCCAAAACTCTGCAAAAAGAAACGATATCTTTGGATACATTTGCTGCTGTTTCCCATTCTAAGGACACATGGACTACGACTCAAGAAAGCCAGATCATGTTTAGGAATGTATTCTAATTCGCAGCAGGAAATCATTAGAATATTTGTTCTTTTTGGAAAAACAAAGTCAGAAAAAAAATCTCTCTGCTTTTCATTCATAGTTTTTGCTTAGTTTTAAAATTATTTTCACGTCGCCTTGCTCCTCCACGCGTGCCTCGGATTGCCGATGCTTTACAACGCGTGGCAGGATCGCGACGTGCTACCCCGGCTGAGGTGCCGCCTGCTCCCATCTCTTTTATTCTGACTATAAAACTGAACGTAGCTCCGGCCCTGCACGCTGCCCAAGTGCGTCTGCGCCGTCACCACACGCTGGATCGGAGGGCAGCTGAACCACCAGCAGCTCTCGCAGTCTGTCATCGCAGCCATGGTGATTAACGACGAAGGAAAAGGGAATGGAACAATACAGGGTCGGATTGAACAGCTAAAAAGTTGATTATAGCCAGAAAGTGAGAAAACTGATTTAAATATGCTGTAAAAGGCACAGGAAAAAGAGAGAATTGATTTAGAATAGCAATCTGGAAAGGTGATAAAATAATAAAGGACAAGTTAGGAAGGAATGAGAGCTAACATATGCTGAAGGAAACATTTGAAGAATTGCCAAAGCAATTTTTCCCCTTAGTAATCTAATAATGTTCATTCCCTTTTGCATAGAACTGTGGGTAGGTGCGTTGTAACAGCGATCCTACTATGGTTTCTTGCTGTAATAGAGATTAAATTCTGTACAGTGAATTAAAAAAGGGTGAACAGCTGATGAAACAGCTGAACTGTAAAGATAATTCTGAGATTGGGGCTACATTAGGTGTTGAAATGGCTTAATGCATTTGCCTTTTGCCTCTGGGAACATGAGAACAAATCCTGGATTAGAGGCCCCGTGAAACTGAGCTCGTCCGTGCTCTCATTTTGTATATATACATACATCAGTCTTAGAGGAAACAAAATATATCCAAAGGCAGTGCAAGTTTCACAGCTTCAAAGACAAGATCAACCATTTGCTTTACACCACTTTATCTTCCATCCTCCTCTAAAAGGACACAACTCTTGCTGCACTCCCTCTCCTATTGCTTCTGGACAGCACGGCTGACTGGAGCTTGGAGAAAGCTTTTCATCTCCCCACCTCCCCACGTGAGGACAGCCAGTCTCTGAGGCCAAACAGAAGGTCCTTCTTCACGTATTTCGGTGGCATCCTCAGTTCAGGCTGCCATCCCACCTTATTTAACGTATCACTTCTTCAGTCTGTTCATGAGACTAACTCTGGGCACGTGTGGAAGTGGACAGTGGCTCCTTCAGAAATCACTGAAACCATCACCTCAGCAAGACCTGAATCCAAAATTTGTCTTTTTAAGCGATAAAGGGGTAGACAGCCTTTACTGTCCAAGACGCATAAGTGCGCACTGACCTTTCTGATGGCAGAGGACAGACTTGGACTCGGGTTCAGAGTCGGAGTCATTTGATTTTTAATCTCCCCACTCCTTTTTAAAAAAAAAACAACACACAACCAAAACCAGACTGTACTGTGAGTTCCAGTGATGCTTGGATGCCTGCACTGAAGCAGAGGCCACATTTAATTAATTTTATTTGAATTGATTAAATTTAATTAACCATCCCGGCCTCACAGTAGCTGTAAATGAACGACTGAATTTCCAGTGGACCTGATCATCGCAGCCAGTAAATGTTACTGGGAGAAAGGCTGCGAGCAGGTGCCTGTGGGCTCGTAGCCGGGCTGGGCTCCTGAATAGCCACAGCTCCACTCGGCTCCTTCACAAGGAGTGTGTTTCTGCCACGTTGCCTGGCAATCCCACGGGATTTCATATTTCAGAAAGCTGCCGTGTAACGTGATCGCCGTATATGCAGGCCGCGAGGGGATTATTTTAGGAGCTGCCATCAAACGGTACAGTATCCACTGAAAGAAGGGAGAGTGAAGCAGCTGTTAACACCAGCGGTTCGGTTTGAAGGAAAGGAGGGCGAGCATAGACGCACCATCATTTCACGTTCATCCATTTGTGAAGGCGATGCCGAAGTGGTAAGTTTCTGTACAGCGATAAACGCGAGCAAAAGCTCTGACAGGAGAGGAACTTTCCTATTACCGCTTTCACATGGCACATCCATATCCACAGAACCAACACGCTTTGCAGCACAGAGCCCGTTCACTCATCCCCTTGGCTTGGAATAAAAGAACATTCAGCAGAAAGTGAACAAGAGGAGGAAGCAGAATGAGCACCGTCGTCGTGACCTAGGAGTTTTACCCGATGCCCTCAAATCCTCTCATTTGTCAAAGCAAGTTCTTACGATTCAGTTCCTCTTGGGATGGAGTCTCACGTCTCTTAATTTGGCGCTTGCGCTGAAGTTACTGCAGGTTTACAGCTCCAGAACCCAGCAATTAATACTGTCCCTTCTGCGTATCTATACCCACGTGGTCCGGCAGTAGAAAGAAAGCATCCGAGGAGAAACTGGCACATTGCCTGGCTGAGGTCGTTGATGTGATCCTTGTTAGTCATTTGATTTCCAGTTTACGCTATTCACAGACAATAATGAATATTTATAGCTTGCACAAAGTTGCAGACGAGCCTCAAAATCAGAGTAACTCAGCTGGTCGAGGAGGTGCAACTGCCATCGCTCCTCACTTAGGGGGAACAGGAGCAGGAGGTTGGAGTAAGCGACCTCCTGAAGCCCCTTTCCACCTGCATACCTGTGAACCCAGCATCACAGACAGCCTACTCCACTCATCACTTCTTGCCTATTTCTCGCTCTTTCTATACAGAAAATATTCTGATCTCACGCTAAAATCTCAAGAGCTTACCTAAAAGGAAGCTTGTCAACAACTAACTGATACTAATTGTTTTATATCACTTTACGCTATAGACAGACACCCTTCTGGACGCAGTCCTCATAGTCCCAACTGTGGTATGCACATTGTGTTCCAGACGCTTCTCAGCCGGCTGAGGAAGAAACTGAAGCACGCCTCCAAACTACCCTTCCCAGAAGACTCCTTTATACAGCCAAGAGCGGGAGATGCCTCCTATAATATTCTATTCACCCATTTTTGCCCAGATCTTACAGCGCGAGCGGAAAAGCAGCACAAAGATAGCCCTGCTGCTCAGGCGATGGCACTCCTAAATTCTTGAGTTTCACGGGCTTTGGCAGAGACGTAAATCTGTTCAAATGCAACGTTGTACCTCTCCGCTTAGCCCATGATCGATCTACTCTTAGCTCCATCCCCCTGACGATACTGCCATGGCCTTGTATAATTTCTACAGCCCTGGGGACCTCTCTTCAAAGCCTCGCTCATTTTTGAGAAAATTCTCCTGGAAGCTGATAGGAGAAACGGGCACAAACTGGAGGAGAAAATCCCGGGCTCGCAAAAGTCAGGGGAAATTTTGCTGTCGAATGAATCAGGCTGGATTTCAGCCCTTTTCACCGCTTCCAGTTCACCTTTGTCTTCCGTGTGCGTAGAAAGAAATGATAAGATTCATAAATACAACTCACTGAAACGAAAGGGTGAAAGTTCTCAAAACACTCTGAGCAATCTTCCGTCTTCAAGTGATCTGAACACAAAGGTGAAGTAAAATAATAGCGTGTGTGAAAAAAGAACAGTATACCTCACCTCAGTAGCTGTGCTTTGGTTGGCTCCATTCTCCAGGAGATATTTCACCACCTCAATGTGGTTCTCTTGAGCTGCCATGTACAAAGGAGTAAAGCCATTCTAGGAAGAACACAGAGGAAAATACTGTGATGAGGAAACAGAATATCCAGCAATAATGAACCCCAAATAAATACATGGCTTTTGGGCTTTTTTAACTGAAATGTTTTAAGTACTTAAGTAGAACAACTTCGTATTTTTTAACTTTATATGGTAATGTTTAATGCCATTTCAACTCACAAAATGCTACGTGCTTTCACACTCATTTTCTTTCGACACATATTTTAAGGAAGTAATGGACACACTAATTAATAATACAGCTATTCCATGCTGACAAGGCTCAGGGACTGTAAAGCTGGCCATAAAGTTTTATGAAAGCTGACAGGAAAGCAAGAATTTCCTCCATTTATTACATTAACTTAACCAAAGACATCATTCCCCGGAGCCCATAAAGCCCATACCTCATGACAAGCCGAGCAGAGATGACAAAGGCTTAACATCCTCCATAAAATTTTGCAATACATAAAACATTGCAAATCATCAAACATAAAGGAACTCAACCTTGCAAAGCAACAACTGCATTTCTGACCATACAGGAAGTTCATCTACCACTTAATTATAAACATTCATTAAAACGACTCAGAGTCCTTAAAAGAATCTGCTCTGGATAATACAGTAATTAAAAAAAAAAATCTTCCAAGTTGATCAAACTACAGGCAAATTCATTAGAAACTTAAGTCCTTTCTTCCCATTAAAATACTTAAATGCAAACAATTTTAATTAATTCGGTACAAAACCCTTAGGAAAGAAAGGCACGGAAGTGAGCCGTCCACCCCATTAATAACGTTCTTCTAGGAGTTTTTAGGATCGTTAAAAAGGCCTTGGAAAATTCTTTACTACTCCGTGGATTACCACGCAACAAGGGGACGTAATCACCCATACTTCTGAAAACATTCTTCTGTCTTGCAACCGCGCTTTTAGGTAGAACATAAACCACGAACCAGATTTCAAACATCCAACTTTATTTTTTTTTTTAATCTTGTGTGCTGTCACAATGAACGATAAGCTTGTGCTTGTGCTCTGATAACTACTCTGATAACTAAGAACCTTGTTCCAGAAAAGCCAATGTTATTCTTTTTAGCAAACTTGGTGCGGAAACATTCCAGTAGTTTCCTAATTAAATGAAATCTCATTTTTCAGTCACTAGGTAGCACAGCTGATTGTAAAGGTGATGTCTTTACAAACCCCCTCCGCATTTATAAATGTAGGCGACTGCTCAGGCAAAAAATATCATTTATGTTGTATACATCATACAATATACAACATATATGCCGTAGGAAGTCTTTTAATACTGCTTTTGCATAATATTCTGGCACTTCCATCAACAATCTTGGGACATATAATTAAAAAATGGCACCCAGAGAACCGTTAATGGCAGTTCAATGCCGAAACTGTGGGATGTATTTTGAGTGGCTCCGCACAGGTCTTTGGTGGGTATCATCCAATATTCTCCGTAACGACCTGAAGGATGGAACAGAGTGCTCTTATCAGAGTTGGAGGCAGCGTGAACAAGACGGTCTGTGAGTACACCGCACAGCAGGATCATAATCTGAAAGGTTTCTGTTACCTTGGAGAAAAGAGCTGAAAATATAATTGGGGAAGGACACATGCAAGTTTCTCCACTATGGCCGGAAAAACAAACTACGCAAACAGGGAATGACGAGTTAGAGAAGAATTCTGCAGACCTGAAGGTCACAGTGGTCTACCAGGGGGCCAGTGGTCAATGAGCTCATTCTGCCGTAATGAAGACAATCCTCGCAGCGGCGTAAAAATATATCCCCCTGGGGAAGCTATTTTTCTTTGAGGAAAGACTAGCAATTAGCGTTGTTCTGTCTGGAAAGGGAAAAGCGAAGGAAAACAAGGTAACAGCCTTTAAAGAGGAGGGTAAAGGTCTGTTCCGCACCTTCGTGACGACTAAAACGGAAAAGAGCGCAGTTCACTGAGGTTGCTGGAAAGAAAACTCGGGTTAGACATCAAGAAAAGCCTCTTAACAGCAAGGTCAGCCTGGCATTGCGTTTTGACGAGCAGCTTCCCTCCCTCCTCCCAGATCGCCGCCAAAACTGGAAGCGCGAACGAGGCGAACCAGCCGGGCTCTTCCAGGTCCACCCCGGGGCTGGGGGGATGCTGGTCTGCCTGGTGCTCCTCGGCCAAGTCTTTACCGGGGAGGAGGGGATGGAGATAAGAGATCTCAGCACAGCGTAAAACGAAGCGAGGCTGTTCAGGGCTTAATTAGGAAGGTGCAGGGGATTGCCAGGCAGAGGGACTGAGCTGGCAGCGGGACCGACGAACAGATTGGTTTGTTTTCGACTGCGCTTGTACGGAATAGTACGGAGAAAACCGCAGAGTTGGCTCGCTGTCTCGAATTTTCCTTCCCACTCCGGAAAGAAACAACACGGCAACCTGTCAGGTATAACTAAGAGTAATTTTCCACCTGCCTCCATCAGCATTTTAATATTAATGTCTAACTGGTAACACATGCCATTTGTAAAATCCTTTTAACACCGAGTATTACATGGACGAATACAAGGATTATTAGGTTGACATCAGACTTGATGATCTTTAAAGGTCTTTTCCAACCTAAACGATTTTACGATTCTGAGGATCGCACCGAGTAGTAGAAATTTGGGGAATATAAGAAATTTCAAGCCAGATTAAATCAATTTGTTTAAAAGCTTTGAAGAATTATTTAATTTTTTTTTTAATCAACTCAAGTCCCTAGTTCTGGAACAGGATCAGGACAATAAATCCTGGATTAGGAGGCCATAAACAATACACATATGACTTCATGACCATTTAGTCCCAAGCAGTACTAAATCCTTTTCCACGCAGAGACCCAGAAGAGTGCCCATTACATCGAGAATAACTTCCTCACGTGCTATAATCGTACCTGAAACTACAGCAATCTGGGGCAGGGAAATTCTTGCACATAAAATCATAGCCTTTTTGAGTCGTTTACTTTTTTCTTCAAGCTTTATTTACAGTTTAGAACCACTACGTATATTGGCTTAAAACCTGGCTTATTTGGAAATTGCAACAGCATGCCAAGGTCTATATGCAACTCTGCCTATACCAGACACTTTACTGAAAAAGCTTCCCCTGAATTTCTCCCCGCGGTAAGGTCAAGCCCGAATTTTTCCCCCGCTGGCAGAGTGAGGTCTGCTCCCTCAGCGAAGAACCAGTTTCAGAGCTTCTAACAGCAGCATTCCTGACCTCAATGCTCCCGGCTCGCAGCCAGAAAACTCCTATTTTAGGATTCCCAACATCAGTGCTCTCCTCGGCGGAGCTCTGCCCGGTGGGATTTACCTGTGAGCCCTACGGGAGCTCCTCCTTCTCAGATCCAGACCTCTGCAAATTGAAGAAAACATGTTTTCCCTGGGCTTCTGTTTCACTATCCTGAAGCGTCTCCTACTAAATCCACGACATTCTGATTAATGATTCTCCACGGACGTATTGTAAGGGAGACTGACCTCTCCCCTCCTTGTTTTAGCAGGTGGAACGGGATATGTGTGTTTATTGGGCCAGGAGAGAGGAATCTTTATTTCGATAAGTTTTCCTTCAGTTTATCATCCCCTGCTGTATAAACACAGCCCAGAATTAAAGTAAAAACACTGACCGTGGCGTAAAATGTGACCTGGAAAAGGAGAAATACACTTTATTTTGCTTCTTCCGAAAGCCGGCCGTGCAATTACGTTACGTCTGTATGTTTAGATTTTGTGCACCATTAATTTTGTAATGATATGTAACACTCATTTTCAAACAATGATTTCATCAGAGTATTTGTGGTGAGGACAGAGTACTCAGATTTCATTATCTTTAGAAATGTATACTGCAAGATGTTTACTGCTATAATATAAAGTTATAATGAGAAATTAAGGCTAAACAAATAGAGTATATTTCACACTTCATTCTTTCTACTACATTCACTGATTTACTTGCTAATTTGAGAAAATGAGTAGCTCTCAATGATTCTTCAAGCTATTAATGCAAATTGGCAAGCCTATATATGACTCAGCATTTGTACCGTTACATTTTGCCCAAGCCCTAATGAAGAACGCGGTTTGAAGAAGCAGAGGGATTATTAGAGCGTTTAGAAAAACCATACAAACAGCCGTATAGCTTGGTTGAGCTTTATTTTATGGCAGGCTTTCAAGCAACCGTACTCTTTGCAGGCAGCACCAAACGATCGGAAGCACACATTTCCAAACCCTGACTAGTAGCCAGCACGATCCAATGACTGGCCTACCCATGCTTGTCCGTGAAGACGTGGCCTTTAGTGCCTGTGTACCTATAGCATCCATACACCAATATCCGTGTATCTTCCTATACGTTCATACTGATAAGAAAAAGAGAGAAAATAGAGCTATGTCATCTCCTCCCTCGGTTTGCCTCTTTTAAGATGACACCTGAGAGTCAGCAACATACCCTATGCTTTAATACCTAATGTAAACCCAGCTGAACATCTGTATTTTATCTTAAAGGCCTCCAGGAACTGTTTAAGACTGTATTAGAAGATCACTGAGATTACCAGGGAAGACGAGACAACTGACATCTAATGCAATTGTTTACATACAGCCGACGCTCATTCCTATTTACTCTTCAAGATGTAATTACCAGTCAGAAGGTCAACGCAATCAGCGGATTGCCCGACCTCGACCAGTTGCCTCCTCTGCCTCTCCATCTTACCGCCTGGGTTTTCGGTTTGGCGTTTCGGTAGCCTTCTCCCCCCACTTTTTGCTTCATATCAAGGAAACGAAAAAGTTATTTTTTCAAGGTCAGAGATGAAAACCCAGTTAGTTCAGCTTTTTCTGCAACCTTTACTACAATTCTGCAACTGTGCTTCTCTGGCAGCGTTCAGAGAAGATTCTGTGCGCAAAATACTGTCCATGTAAAAACTCGGTTTCCTTTGGGTCAGCCCTAGAGTTTCCTTCATACGGCCCAACGCTTAACGTAACCTAAAAGAGGGCTTTGTGACATTGCTCTCCTTCCTCCCTCTGCCTCCTCCT